TGTCTTGTAACTTTGAATGGTTGGCAAATATCTAGACATAAGTTAAGGACTACCTGTATTTGAAGCATCCATATTTAATTCCTATGGAAGCTAGCATATCATGCAAAAGTATTTAGGCTTTATCTACTATTTACATAAGCATTATATAGAATGCCTTTCAGTAGAGATCTTTCTATTTGTTGTTGTTAATTGTGAAGTTGTGTCCGACCCATCGCGACCCCATGGACAACGTTCCTCCAGATCTTCCTGTCCTCTATCATCTTTTGGAGTCCATTTAAGTTCACACCTACTGCTTCAGTGACTCCATCCAGCCATCTCATTCTCTGTCATCCCTTTCTTCTATTACCCTCAATCTTTCTCAGCATTAGGCCCTTCTCCAGTGAGTCCTTCCTTCTCATTAGGTGGCCAAAGTATTTGAGTTTCAACTTCAGGATCTGGCCTTCTAAAGAGCAGTCGGGGTTGATTTCTTCTAGGACTGACCGGTTTGAACGCCTTGCAGTCCAAGGGACTTGCAGGAGTCTTCTCCACCACCATAGTTCAAAGGCCTCAATTCTTTGGCGCTCAGCCTTTCTTATGGTCCAACTTTCACAGCCATACATTGCAACTGGGAAAACCATGGCACTTTTGTTGGCAGGGTGATGTTTCTGCTTTTTAGTATGCTGTCTAGATTTGCCATAGCTTTCCTCCCCAGGAGCAAGCGTCTTTTAATTTCTTGGCTGCAGTCCCCATCTGAGGTGATCTTGGAGCCCAGAAAAATAAAATCTGTCACTACCTCCATTTCTTTCCCATCTATTTGCCAGGAATTGAGAGGGCCGGATGCCATGATTATGGTTTTCTTAAATGTTGAGTTTCAAGCCAACTTTTGCACTCTCCTTCTTCACCCGCATCAAAAGGCTCTTTAATTCCTCTTCACTTTCTGCCATTAGAGTGGTATCATCTGCATATCTTAGGTTGTTGATATTTCTCCTGGCAATCTTAATTCCAACTTTTGTTTCATCTAGCCCTGCCTTTCTCATGATGTGATCTGCATATAAGTTAAATAGGCACGGCGACAGTATACAGCCTTGCCGGACTCCTTTTCCAATTTTGAACCAATCAGTGATTCCGTGCCCAGTTCTCACTGTTGCTTCTTGACCTGCATATAGGTTTCTCAAGAGACAAATGAGATGGTCTGGTACTCCTATCTCTTTAAGAACTTGCCACAATTTGTTGTGATCCACACAATCAAAGGCTTTTGCATAGTCAATGAAGCAGAAGTAGATGTTTTTCTGGAACTCCCTAGCTTTCTCCATGATCCAGCGTATGTTGGCAATTTGATCTCTAGTTCCTCTGCCTCTTCGAAATCCTGCCTGTACTTCTGGTAGTTCTCAATCCACATACTGCTGGAGTCTAGCTTGTAGGATTTTAAGCATAACTTTACTAGCATGTGAAATGAGTGCAATGGTGTGATAGTTTGAACGTTCTTTGGCATTGCCTTTCTTTGGGATTGGAATATATACTGGCCCTTTCTAATCCTGTGGCCACTGTTGAGTTTTCCAAATTTGCTGGCAAATTGAGTGTAGCACTTTTACTGCATCTTCTTTTAAGATTTTGAATAGCTCAGCTGGAATACTGTCACCTCCACTAGCTTTGTTGTTGCACAGATTTTCTAAGGCCCATTTCACTTCACATTCTAGGAGGTCTGGTTCGAGGTCAGTGATCATCTCATTGTGGTTATCTGGGACATTAAGCTCATTCTTGTATAGTTCTTCTGTGTAGTTTTGCCATCTCTTCTTAATCTCTTCTGCCTCTGTTAGGTCCTTTCCATTTTGGTCCTTTATCATGCCCATCTTTGCATGAAACGTTCCCTTCATATCTCCAATTTTCTTGAAGAGATCTCTGGTCCTCCCTATTCTGTTGTTTTCTTCTATTTCTTTGCACGGTTCATTTAAGAAGGCATTCTTATCTCTTCTAGCTACTCTCTGGAATTCTGCATTCAATTGGGTGTATCTTTCTCTTTCTCCTTTGCCTTTCGCTTCCCTTCTTTCCTCAGATATTTGCAAAGCTTCCTCAGACAGCCATTTTGCTTTCTTGCATTTCTTTTTCTTTGGGATGGTTTTAGTTGCTACCTCTTGTACAATGGTGCGAACTTCCATCCATAGTTCTTCAGGCACTCTGTCTATCAGATCTAATTCCTTAAATCTATTTGTCACCTCTACTGTATATTCATCAGGAATATGATTTAGTTCAAACCTGAGTGGCCTAGTGCTTTTCCCTACTTTTTTCAATTTAAGCCTAAATTTTGTAACAAGAAGCTCATGATCTGAGCCACAGTCAGCTCCTGGTCTTGTTTTTACTGACTGTATACAGCTTCTCCATCTTTGGCTGCAGAGCACATAGTCAATCTGATTTCTATGTTGACCGTCTGGTGATGTCCATGTGTAGAGCCGTCTCTTGGGTTGTTGGAAAAGAGTGTTTGTTATGACCATCGTATTCTCTTGACAAAATTCTATCACCTGTGCCCTGCTTCATTTTGTACTCCAAGGCCAAACTTGCCTGTTATTCCAGTTATCTTTTGGCTTCATACCTTAGCATTCCAATCCCCCATGATGATAAGGACATCATTTTTTGGTGTTAATTCTATAAGGTGCTGTAGGGCTTCCTAGAACCGATCAATTTCATCCTCTTCAGCACCAGTGGTTGGCATAGATTTGGACTATTGTGATATTGAATGATTTGCCTTGGATTCGAACTGAGATCATTCTGTCATTTTGGGGATTGTACTCCAGTATTGCTTTTCCTATTCTTTTATTGACTATGAAGGCTACTCCATTTCTTTTGAGGGATTCTTGCCCACAGTAGTATACCTGATGGTCATCTGAGTTAAATTCACCCATTCCTGTCCATTTTACTTCCCTGATTCCTAAGATGTCGATGTTCAGTCTTGTCATCTCTTGTTTGACTACGTCTAGGTTGCCTTGATTCATGGATCTTACATTCCAGGTTCCTATGGAGAACCTGGAATGTTTACAGCATCGGACTTTCCTTTCACCACCAGATATATCCACAACTGAGCGTCCTTTCGGCTTTGGCCCAGTCGCTTCATTCTTTCTGGCGCTACTAGTATTAGCCCTCTGCTCTTCCCCAGTAGCATATTGGACACCTTCCGACCTGAGGGGCTCATCTTCCAGCGTCATATCTTTTTGCCTTTTGTTACTTTCTTTTACTTTTTTTGTTACTTTTTGTTACTTTCTTTCTATAGGAAGTATTAAAAGCTGCTGAAGTAATATACTTTAAAATGTGTTATGAAATAACAGAGTAAATTCTAATTAACTCTTGATTAGGTTATTGCTGTTAGTGTTGTATATAGTTTAGGCTATTTTTTTCCCCTAAAATGGATTGGCAACTTCCGCCCTTTGTAGATGCCCAGTTCTACTATTCAAGTCCTTGTAATGTACACAAATCATGAATAAATTTAGTGGCAAGATGGCTATATGTAGAGAACACTATCTACCAGAATTTTTTTTTGTTTTGTCCTCCCTGCAAAAGAGGTGCTTAATGTCCGAACCAAAAAACTGTGATTATGTCTTTTCCCTTCTGTTGATGATACCATATAATCAAGCATGTTTCTTGCAGCTATCAGAGACTACAATACCACCTTTAAAATACAGTCAATAACATCCAAAATATTGTTACCTCTGCCTTAAGGAATATAACAGTTCTTTGACATTGCAGTTTTAGTGGCTAATTTAAATTGTATTTATTTATGATTTACTTTTTGAAGCTATTATCCTAATTAAAATGATCCATGCATTAATAGAATGTAAATAGGATATTCCAAATAGTGCAAGCTTTTAGAGCACTATATAGGTGCTATTTTCTGATAATTATCTTAAAACATTCATTGTAAAATGTTAAATTTTAATTTAAGAGATAAGTACAATACATACCACTTTAACTTTGAAGAAATTAAGACCATAACAATAAATGGGAATAATAAATATTATAAAATATCAATTGAGTTGCAGATTTGTTTATTTCAGTGTAGATTTTGGGACCAGACCACAAAATACATTTTATTTTTATTATTGATATCCTTGTTGAGGGGGAAATATTTCCTTAAAGCTCCCTATCCTGGAACTGCTTGAAATGATAATCTTTGGAACTGATCTTTGTCACTTTTTGATTATTCTGAAAATATTTTTTAGGGTGGGAATATGAATGGGAAATTTTGGAGAAACAAACTAACTTTACTTGGCTTAAAGCTTCTGGATTTCTCAAATAAGTACTTAAATTGTGATTTCTCCCATCCCCCCTATAGAAATTTTTGCAGAAATTTGGCACAGTTGTTTTGATACGTTGTATTGTCATTTGTAGCCCTCCCAAAGTTTGGGACTCTTTACTGGTTCTCAACCCCTCAAATGTTGTCAGCTTTTGGTCTACTGTTTTGACACTGAAATAACTACTGAGAAACTTTGATTTGAAATATTCCACTATTGAAGGTTATTATTGAAAGACATAAATTACTTTTCTTTTCAATTGAAATTGTGTTTATATTCAGATAGACTTGCTTATGGGCTAATAAATGTGTTAATCTGATAATTCTATATTTGAATTTGCTAGTGCAGACTATATAGGGCTACTGTTTTCCTAGAAGTAGATATCTGGAAATCCTTGTCTGTTTCTGAGGAACATGAATCTCAGGCATTTAGAATAAGATTTAGAAGTCAGCCAAGCACTTTGTCCTTTCACATTTTTGTCCTTTTCTCTGAACAAGTGCCAGTTTGCACAGATTGTATGTCAATTTAAATACAACATAGATCAATGTGCCTGATATCTTTCCATAAAAGACTTCAAAAAACTTTAGGTAGTTAGTAGATGGGAATGTTCTTTCACATTAAATTGTTTTGTAGAATTATAGAACAGCCTTTTGAATGCTTTCAAACAAATTGTTGTCATCCACTAATGAATGAGATACCATCTGTAATAATTAAGGTTATTCCAATTGTTTCTCCCTACAGCAAAACTTCTGAAGGTTTGGAGAATTGTAAAACAACGGCCAAGAAGGACTATAACAGTATTGTAAGTACTGCACTGAAAAGAAAATGTAAATTAAGCATTTTGCAAACAAACTGCCTATATATATTTGATGAAAAATTACTTGGTGGAAATGAATTACATGGAATGTAAAAGCATACTTTATAACTGTAGTCTTGTTAAGTTAGCAGGATTGCTTCATTCTTGTAAAATGTGAAGTGTATTCTTGTAACATAATTAGAAATTCACCAATATCACAGAAAAATATCTTTTTATCTAACCAGGATTGATCTATTTTATATACATTTGTTTATTTAAAACTATCAGAATTTTAGAAAATCATTATAGTTTTGTTGAGTTGTCATTTATTTTAGTGACTTATTGTTTAGGTTATTTTGCAGAATTATTTATTTGCTGATTTATTTATGTATTTCATTATTTATTTATTTGATTATTTAGTAAATTATTTATCTGATGAATTATTAATACATCTTCCTGACAGGCTTTAAATTATTTATAACTTAATTTTGATTTTATTGCTTTTCAACGCAGCATTGTTACTGATTACATTTTTTCCCTCCTCTTACTTGGTTCTTGAAAATTAAAGTGTTAGCTTTGAGGCAACTTTATATTCATTGCAAGATTCTCTCTCTCCCTCCCTCCCTCCCTCCCTCCCTCCCTCCCTCTCTTTCTGTCTCTCTTTTTCCCTCCCCCTCTCCCTTTCTCTTCCCCTCTCTCTGTATATCGATATATGCAAAAATAAATGTACATACATATATTCTGTAAAATGTCCCTATAACTGGACTTTGAATGTCTGTAACTCATGACTGTTACCTTTTCAAAATTTTCTTCCTATATTTAATTATGATGTCTTCTCTAAATTAGGAATCTGATTCTTCCATGAGAGATTCTGATGGAAAAGATTCTATGGCTCTAGGTCATTATTTTATTGACATGTTTTCATATGGAACATGTTGGTGTGGTTTAAAGCTTCAGAAATAATTTTCAGAACATAATATGTGAAGTAGAAAATTAATGAAAATTTCTGAAGACAATCAAATTTGAATAGTCCTTCCTTTGGAGAAAATTTAATATATTAAAATATTTTTTATCTTTCTTTTCACATGTTATTCTAAACACAACATGACTCTAGATTGAGATTATAGTTTCACACCAAATGTAAGTCTGTTGAACTGTCCTAGGCTTTCCATCTACCTTTTATCTGTTCTACTTTCTGAATTAAATGCAGGATTTAAAATACTTGTGTTACATTTATTTAAATATCTTTATGCTGACTTTCTTAAAGCAGCTTACAAAAACATGTTAAACTATAAAATGATTTTTAAAATAAGTAAAGTTGCTAAAAAACACAGCTTTTTAAAGTTCAACTCAATATATTAATTAAAAGAAATAAGTTTTAAAGGCCTGTGTAAGAGACAGCAAAAGTTAAAGACGTAGTCCTTGAACAACAATTGTAATGGAGCCTGTCCATATGGTTGCAATTCATAACCCATATGCTTGCCTTGCTTAAAGCCCCATCCCTGTTTTCCCCATGGGGATGTAAAGCAACCGCATAGCTAATTTCTTAGAGCATGGGGTGCTTCAGGAGCGGAAAAGACTCTGGGAGGCATAGTTCAAGCCCTGTTCCAGGCCTTCCAAGGCTCCCCCAGCCCTTGGTTCACTTCTCTCCCATCAAGGTCCCTGCAAGCCTGAGCCTGCTTCCCACCCAGTCAGGACCACATGCCTCTCCCCACCCTCATAACTGATCACTTACTTGGAAACTCCAAACTGGCATTGGAGAAGGAGAGCAAGGTGCTCTGTCCCTTGGCTGTGTTGCTCCTTTCTAGAAGCAAGTGCCATTTCAGAATGGTCACAATTCAAAAGCTTTCTTTCTAGTCCAGGGCAAAAAGGGGAGGAAAAGAAAGCTAGTTTGTGCTAGTATGAATGCAACATCATTAGAGGCATGTGCAGGAACAAAATGAGGAATAAGGCATCACTGAGTGAGTTGGAGTGGAGGGGGATAGTTATGTGGCTTCCATGTGAATGACATCAAATTCTGCATCATAGGCCAGCCATGTGAAGCTCCATGGTTTTCCAGCAATGTCATTTGGTACTAAGCAGCAGTGAGGAGAAATTGAAAGCCTGCCGACTTTGCCTCTACTGATTGACTCCCTTACATATCCACTCTCCTTTCTCTCCATGTTCTCCTCCTCCTCCTGATCCTTCTCCTCTGATTTAGTATATGTGAGCAGTGTCATTCCCCCTCTGGTGCCAGTTTCTAGTAGGTGAAGGTCCTGTTTGACTGTCATTAACTTGCAATCATCAGAAAGCAAGCTTCCACCCCCTTCTCAGCATATTATTCCATAGCCCTGCAACTAGCATGTTCAAGGCTGGTTCTCAGATACTAGAGGACTGTCTTACTTTTTTCCCTCTTGATTGTCATTGGGAAGAAAGAGCAACCTCTTTTTAGCAAAGAGAAAGAGATGGCAGAAGAATAAGCTGGGGAGGGGTATTGAAAACTGTCCTCTTTCCCTAGAATTCGTGCCAGCATTCCCATTTACTTTGCTCATGAGAAGCTTATAGGGAGAAAGTGTAAAAGTCCAGTGTCCACAGGCAGGTAAGTCGCTGCTGCAGGAGTGCAAATTGGGAGTAATGCTTTGGAGTGCAAGAAAGGTGATGCATGGGTCAGAGAAGTCATGTAGATGGCAATACGGGCTGCAAGGTATACATGGTAATTCATTCCTCCCTGTTCCTCTTTTGCTTCCTTCATTCCCTCCTTTCCTCCCTCCCCATTTGCCCTATTCCTGTGGTGGAGAACCTATGGCATGCGTGCCACTTATGGAACGCAGAGCCCTCTCTGTGGGCACGTGCGCCGTCGCCCCAGTCCTAGGCCTTCAGTCCCATCTATGAGCAACCTGCATCAAAATCTTCCTGGGCAAGTGGCTTTTTAAGCTGAGTTTTATATAACCTTTTCACTTTAGGCCTCCGCCGGCATGTGCAAAAAAAAAAAAAAGTTCAACCAATCATCCATTTCAACTTCTCATGGGAAAAAAAGATCGCGCAAAGTTGGAATTGATTGATTGAACTTTATTTTTAGTCCCACACAGTAATGGAGGAAGTGATGGGAGAGTTAGAAAGAAGGTGCCATGTCAGAGCTGGAAAGAAGGTGCCGCATGAGGGTGGGGGAAGTGGCGGGAGCAGGACACTCCGTGAGAGGGTTGGGTCAGGGGCAGTGGGAGCAGGGCACTTTATGAGGGTTGGGGTGGGGTGGCAGGAACAGGGCCCTCTGCGGGGGTCGGGGCGGAATGGCAGGAGCAGGGTGCTCTGTGAGGGTTGAGGCGGGGCAGTGGCAGCAGGACATTCCATGCGAGGGTTGGGGTGGGGCAGCAGGATCAGTACTCTCTGTGCGAGGGGTGCGTTAGAGTGGTGGCGATGGAGAGCTCCATTGGGGAAAGTAGTGGCTTCTCACCGCATTTTTACCCCGACCTTTAAACTATTTTTTAAAACACAACAAGAGTTGTATCACAGAAAAGCCAACCCATGGCTGAATGGAATACGACCGCCTCCTTGAACTTACCATCTTACCACACGCCAGTAACAACCCCACAAAACCCCAATCCCATTAGTGGGATTCATTCCATAGAACCTGTACCTAATTTATTTTGAGTTCGGAGAACCGGCCCAGAAATGGCCAGACTAGCGTGCATTCACGTGCTTCCAATCTCTTCCTTCCTTGCTACAATCTGGCTTTGCAGCAAGTGAATGCACACTAGTCTGGCATCTTTAAAAAAACACGTTATTTTTCTCTGCTCCTGACAGTGAAAATCCTCCACTTTACCTGAGACTGGGTTTTTTTTCTCCACTCAATGTTCACTGCCAGACTGTTCTACTTGATGCAGAATGGGAAGAATCGCATTTTGCAGCAAGTAAACTTTAAAGAAAGTTTAAAAATGTGGCGCAGAAAATCCTCCGCCTTACATGGGATCAGGGGTTTTTTTCTCCGCTCCCCTTGGCTGTCCTCTGCCAGACTGTCTGGCAGCAAAAAGCCAAGGAGAGAGGAGAAAATCCTACCCTTACGTGTGGGGGGGTATTTTCTCTGCTATCCAAGGCTTTTTGCTGCCAGCAAATAAAATTTAAAGTTTAAAAAGTATGCCAGAGAAACATCCTCCACCTTACGTGGGATGAGGGGAGGGTTTCTCTGCTCTCCAAGGATTTTTGCTGCCAGCAAGTAAACTTTACAGAAAGTTTAAAAAGTAAGGCAGAGAAAATAATCTACCTTATGTAGGATTAGGGTTTTTTTCTTTGCTCCCCTCGCACACCTCAGTACCTACCACGGCTGCCAGCCACTCGCGTAGGTCCATTAGGCCACTGCCCAGAGCTGCATGCCCGCCTAGCACAAAGGAGGTGAAACGTTCAGCTAGGAAGCCCCACTTAGAGGTGGTAGAGCATGCCCAGGGCCAGCAGGCAAAAGGCCACCCCAAGCAGAGAAAGCTGGATCCCCATCGGCGTCATGGCCGCCCAGTCCCCATAGAGATAAGGGGAGGCACACAAGCCTAGCTAGGACTGGGGGGCCATGGCGCTGATGGAGATCCGTCTTTCTCCGCTTGGGGTGGCCTTTGGCTTGCTGGGCGTGGGCGTGCTCTATCACTTTTACTCAAGCTTGCTAGCCAGCCATTTCACCTCCTTTGTGCTGGGCGGGCCAGGTGCTCCAGGCAGCGATGGTAACCTAATGGACCTGTATAAGTTGCTGGCGGCCTGAGGTGGGGCTAAGGTGCGTTAGGTGTGTGGGCCAAGGGCAAGATCTGCGAGGGGGCAAGGAGATGACCAGCAACCTGCTCTCCAACCGCAAGCAAAAACAGATGGGACGGAGTAGGAGCGTCTGGTGGTCTGCATCATACGCTTCCCCCTCCCATACTCCGCCTGCTGCTGGAGGGCTGGCTCGGTATTAGCAATGGGTTGTGGAGCCCCAGAGTGCACCGGTCGAGTGGCTGGCAGTCTGTGGCTGCTGATGGACACTGTTGCCCCCATGCGCTCATTGTGTGCAG